GGGGGGGTAGGAAAAAGGAGAAGGGGGAGGGGGCTCCGGAGAGGAAAAGGCTGATGGAAATTCCTTACTCATTCGTGGCAATGAGCAGATAAGGGGTGAAATACGGCGCGACAGGGAGCAGGGGGCTGCGGCGCGGCAAGCTCAGAACGACAAGCTTTACTCATGGTACACGTTGTACAGGACAGAGCTCCTGCTCTCAGCAGCTCCTGTTCTGACACGACTGACCCTTGGGACTCTCCAGTTGGGCTGGGCTCCAGGAACAAGCGTCATTCCCACGCTCCTGGTCTCCAGGCTTCACAGCCGGTCCATCCTGAACGTGTCCTCTGTGGCGGGGTCGGTGAGGACCATGTCTGGGTCGTTCAGCATGTGCAGTCCATCCAAGGTTAAAGGGTCAATTTTTAGTTCATCCAGAGGGAACTGGGAATCCGTATCAAAGCTGACATCTCCCACTCCTGCCAAAGAGCTGGTCAGTTCTTTTGATAAACTGGGAGGAGATTCTCCTGTCACTGCAGGGAAGAGGAGGAGAAAGGTGTTGGTTGGACTCAGACAACACACGTTCACCAGGCAGAGAAGTCATAAAACAGCCTGCAAAAACTCTGGAGTAATTTACTGAACTAAGGCTGATGTTCTGACAAGAAATATCTCTCCTCACTTCCAGCTGGAGGAATTACAGATTAGTCAGAGCATCTCAAACCCATCTTCATGGCCTCACACAAAGCAAACATTCATACACGCATATTTGGGCGTCACTTGAGTCTCTTTTCTCTCCCTCAGGTTTAGGAGCAATAACTTTAATTTATATTATTCTAACCAGCGAGAGGACTTGGCTGGAATATGGACTGAACTGCAGTTTTCTCAGTGGCCTGTGCAGAAATTGTTTCCAAACACCCAACAGTGACCAGATTTGCTGCCATATGTGCCACTAAAAAACCCTTGTGTTGACAAAGCTGGAGCAGAGCAGCAGAGGAAGGAGTTGGGTGTTCACCGACCGCTCCCCCTGCACAGCGGTGAAGGATCCAGCCAATTCAGAGGCAGGAAAGGTCTGCAGGACAATTAGTGCTGCCCTTGTGGCTCTACCTGTTTGCTGGGACGAACTGAGAGCCATCAGGCTTCCCTGGTGGAATCCACCAGACCAGCAACACAACCATTTAAACCAGATCTTCAAAGGCAACACCACCTTTTGCCATTCCTGGCTCACTCCTAACGTTGCACAACGAGGGGAAACATCAACGTGGTTTTACTCGTTGGTTGAGTCTGTGACTTTCTCACCTGTAAGAATGATGTTGGGGATGTTTCCATGGCTGGAGTAATTCAGCTGCTGCGAGTCCTGCAAACTGCCATGACTGCCAGTAAGTCCCATCATGGCTGCCTGGGAGTAGTTGAGGGTGGAACAGGGACTGTAGAGGCTGTTGGAACTAATGGCGTTTTCTATCATATTAAACTGTTCAAGCTGAAGACCAAGGCACAAAGGAATTATTAACTTGGAACCATCAGGAAACACAGCAAAACAACTTACAAAGCTCAAGTATGGGGAGTAATGTTGAAAGAGGCAGGCAAACAAATTCATCTTTAGGTTTCGTTGATCAAAATCTGGTCTATTTTCACTTAACTTTCCAGAATATTTTACTGCCAAATTCAGGGTGCTGGGGAATGAGGGGAGGGTAGATGCAAAAATAAACTGGTTGGTTTTGATAGAGTAAGAACAAAAAAAAAGGCAGCTTTAAAACAAAGTAAAAAACCCCAGTAATTCATGCTGCTAACTCAGGTATCTGCCCATGAAGCTTTGCCTCTCAGAAGCTCTCTCATTTTTTCCTGCCACCAGTGTATGTTTCACAGTTGCACAGGTTGGCCAAACTAAGAGCCATGGCTCTGCCTGCTGGGTTTGGTGCCATGCACGAGTTGTTTGCCAAATTCAGGAGTAAATATTGTTACCACCTCCATGTGAATCCTTCCCAAATTCAACTAAGGCCATTTTGGAAATGTATTTTCATTATTTTTAATCCAATACACTTGGCAGAACACCTTTAAAAACATCTGCTATGATGGCTAAGAGGGAGGAAGGGAAAGGAAGAGTGGGTAAAAGAAAAACAATACTAAAAGAAAGCCCCAAGTATTGCAAAGTAAAAAGAACAGAAGTAAAACTATGTGGACAAAATATGAACTCCCATAAAATAATCAGAAGTTGTTCTATATTTATTTTAAGCTGAAAGTGGCCGAAATATAGCTGAAAATCTGAGATGAATTTGCTCACCTGATGGGATAGGGCATTAGCCTGCCTAGCTGTCATCTGCTGATCATAATAGGAGTCACCAAATACACTCCCCAGAATGGAAGAATGCTGAAAACAAAACAGAGTCTTTATGGTGCAAAGATCCCACAACCAGACGTCCCCACGGCGTGCGGAGCCTCCAGCCTTCCGAGCCAGGCCTCTCCCGGGCAGTGAGCAGAGTCCCTCCTTGTCACCAACCACTAAACCATGGGCAAGCTCACCAGACATTCAGTATTTCCCTCCAAGACACAAATCCTTCCATGTGACGCTGCCTTTTCGGTTAAGCACAAAAACACAGGCAAGGAAACCAAACAAACTTCCTCACAGAGGACAAACGAGACAGAAAACTTGGGATTTATGGGAACAGACGAGTGCGCCGGGTGAGAGGGGCAGGAAAACCACCCTCAGCTGCAGCTTTTTGGTGAACTCTTCTTTTCTGGAGTGGAAGACAAGCCCCACAGAGCAGGAAACTGCACGTGACAACAAGAAGCAATGCAAAGCTGGTCAGCAGCACGCGGGGGGGCTGGCCCTGCAACCTCCTGCTGACTGAACAGCCCCCAAGACAACAACATGCCAAACCAAAACTGACTTCTTCATTTCAGCTGCACATCAGCAAAGGTACTGGGAAAGCCTGGTAGAGCATGGGATCAGCAGTTCCAAGGCTAGAATCTCAGGAGGAACTCCTCAGCCTTGCTAATTCTGCTGTCCCCTCTAGCACAACAAGAGTTTAGCAGCTCTTCTCCATCATTTCTCCATCATTCTAAGGCTGACCAAGAGTTTGAGGTTTATGTTTTCACACTGGTCAGTACTGCTGGGAAGCAGTGTGCCCTTGTGGCCAAAAGGACCAATGGTATCCTCGGGTCCATGAGGAAAGGTGTGTCCAGAAGGTCTAGGGAGGTTCTCCTCCCCCTCTGCTCTGCCCTGGTGAGACCAGCCCTGGAAAACTGTGTCCACTTCTGGGCTCCCCGGTTCAAGAGAGACAGATTTAGTGGAGAGAGTCCAGTGGGGACTCTGAGGATGATTAACAGACTTGAACATCTCTCCTATGAAGAAAGGCTGAGAGACTTGGGGCTGTTCACTCTTGAGAAGGCTAAGAGAGGATCTTACTAATGTCTACAAATACCTCAGTGGTGGGTGTCAAGAGGAAGGGGCCAGTCTCTTTTTGGTGGTGCCCAGTGATAGGACAAGGAACAATGGGTATAATAAGCTAGAACACAGGAAGTTCCACCTCAACACGAGGAGAAACTTCTTACCTGTGAGGGTGATAGAGCCCTGGGACAGGCTGCCCAGAGAGGCTGGGGAGTCTCCTTCTCTGCAGACTTTCAAGACCCACCTGGATGTGTTGCTGTGTGTCCTGTCCTGGGTGATCCTGCTCTGGCAGGGCGTGGGACTAGATGATCTCCAGAGGTCCCTTCCAACCTCTATCATCCTATGACTCTATGATACTGTCCCAAAGAATTGCCAGATACCACAAAGAGATCACTTCTTATTTAAGTAACTATCACAAACTCTGACACTCCACCTGAAAAAACAAAGAATCTACTAACAAAGGGAGCACCTGTGAAACCTGGTGTCTATAAAAGACAAACTGCATGGGAAGTCTGTATCCAACTTGGAAAAAAATACAATACCTTGTGTAGCATTTTCCAGCTGTTTTATCTATATATCAGAAGAGGAAGGCTACAAATTTTCACCTTAGAAACCTAATCAGCATATGAAATTCAGCAAAAGCCTAGAAAATGCCCCAGCAGTCATACCAGCCACCAGAAAGCCCTGAACACACCAAAGACTAAGATACTCAGAAACCACAGGGTGATGTCCACGACAGTGACCAGAAAAAATTCAGCAATAATCACATTTTAAACATTCTCCTTCCTACCCCAGGAGCTGAGCTCAGTGCAGCAGGTTGCA